TGACAGCTGACTAACTCCCAGGTACCTATTTACTGCTAGGTAACAGAGGCATTCAGGGTGAAAGAAACTTTGCCCATTTGTTTCTGCCTCGTGCGAGAATCGAACCCGCGCCACAGAATTACGAGTCCTGCGCGCTATCCACCAGGCTACGAGGCCCCATACGTAGTAGCCACGTCTTATTGCCTTTACTCACCATACAAGCTTAGATGTACAGTTATGGTGAACATGTAAATACTTATACATAATGTCTGTGTATAGTGAATAAAAGAAAAAACAGTATTGTGGGAGGAAAATGAGGGTGAGTGAGGTGTTGTTGAGGGAGGGAGTGGCAGCGAGTGGCTGGCTGGTGTGTGGCGGTTACTCATCGTTGCTTTTTGACTCACTTAGTGGTTCGTTATAGTGAGCAAAACATGCAGATACTTATATATAACCTGTGTATATACTTTAATAACAGCAAAACTATTTGTTTATTGTTTAACCCTTAACATGCTCGGGGTCTAATATCCTGCTATCCACACAGGCGCATGTCATTTTTTTTTTTTTTTTGCTAATCTGTTAAGTTCTGTTCACTGATCACGGGAAAAATAAAAAAAAAATTCTATTGTACTTACTTTTGTTGCAATAGAGCCGAGAAGCTCTGTGATGACGTCACAATCTGCATGTTCGCTCATGCAGTACACGCCCGGGAGGTGTTGCGCGCGGTCCTCAAACAGCCAGAGTTGCCACAAATATATTTCGCGCTATTTATTTACAATGTCTAAGCGCATTTTATCTAATTTTTTTTCACTAATTGTGTTTCAAATACTGTTTGAACATATTTTGTATCAATAATTGTTGCATATTTGAGTATACACAGGCGCACACAAATGTTTTCAATTACGGCAATATAATATGTCATTACAGTCTATTATATTATATGTTCAGCTTATATTTGTATATATTTACACACACGCACACGCTATCTGCTTATATGTTTACATATTTACACACTCGCACACGCTATACACACTTTGAAGCACACTTAGAAGATTTCTAGACTGTGGTAGTCATTGAAGCAGTCGACAGCACATAATGGGATACCACACGTTTCACACCATGTTTGTACAAGCTTCCGTTTCTTGTCTCTACGTGTCGTTGTTTTACACACCAAGCAATCACGTTGGGCTATTGCACACTTCACACCAGGTGGCAAATACTTAAGTTTGTGTGCTAGGAAGCCTTCAGTGTGAGCGAGGCGTGGAGTACCAGCATGCTGCAACAGTGGGTTTATGATGGGCCGCTGAATACCTGGGACATCTTTTGCAAACTTTCCTAATAACTGTATTGCAGCATCAAATACAAAGTCATGGAAAGTGGGCTTACGTCCAGTTCTCACAAGGTACATGTTGAAACAGTTCAGCATGCTCATGTCCACAAGATGGAAGAACACTTTTTTCGTCCACCTACATGTCTTCCGCACACACTCTGCAGTGCCAATCATCATGTCTGATTTATCAATCAACCGCATGTTGATATTATAGTCTAAAACACAGTCTGGCTTATATAGTGGTGCGTTTGTTTTATGGCTCACTTTCCCACTGTTCACCATTGTTCCATCATGAATTGTTGTCAACAAGTTCACCTCTCTTTTGTCTTTCCACCGAACTGACAGAATGTTATCACTTTTCCTTCTCTGACACTCACCAACTGCAATGTCGTTGTCAAACACAGGCATTTCCCTTCGTTGTGGCTTTACTGTACCAACCAATCCGGTTCTATTTTCTAGCAAGAACCGAGCTAGCAAGGGACTTGTATAGTAATTATCTGTGTATAAAATGTGTCCCTTGTTCATCCACGGAGCCATGATGGTCTTCACTACACTCCCCGAGAATCCATGTTCGTCGTTACCGGGAATGTCTACATCACTAGCCGAGTACAGAATCATGTGTAACACATATCCTGTCTCACAATCACAAAGAACAAAAAATTTCAGGCCAAATCGGTTTCGTTTTGAGGGAATGTACTGTTTGAATGGAACACGTCCCTTGAAAAGTATGAGAGATTCATCAACCACCAGCTTCTGTGCTGGTACGTAAAAATCTCTGAATTTTCCAATAACATCGTTCATGTAGTGCCTCACTCGCCACAGTCTATCATCAGGTGTTCGGTCCTGAACACTTCCAAAATGTAGACACCTGAGGAGTATCTGAAACCTGTCTCGTGACACATATTTCCCGAATAAAGGTGTTGGTATTTTCTTGTCCTTGCTCCAATAGTCATTTATTGCATGTTTGTGACAGTGCTTCATCAACAAACAGAGTGCCAAAAACACATACATTTCCGCCACTGTGGTATTTTTCCAACGCTGCAGTCGTGAAAATTCTGTGATTTCCCTCTCAATCAGGTAAGCAGCATGCAGGTTCGTTTGGTGTACAATGTATTCCATGAGTGGTTCATCATAGAATGCTGTAAAATATTCCATCTCAGCCATGTCCTCACCTTGATTAGGGAAAAGGTTTGTAATCCCTACATCTTTATCGTCAAAGTGAGGAATATTAGGAATAAAATCGTCACCATCACTCCACTCAAGTACACCAGGCGTACTACGAGATGCAGAGGAAAGACGGCGAGGAAGCGATGCATACCGGCGACCAGGAGCTGAATACCGTCTGCGAGAAGCACGGCGGCTACGTGCACGTGAGGTGGGTGCACGTGAGGTGGGTGCACGTGAGGTGGATGCACTTGAGGTGGATGCACGTGAGGTGGATGCACTTGAGGTGGATGCACGTGAGGTGGATGCACGTGAGGTGGATGCACGTGAGGTGGATGCACGTGAGGTGGATGCACGTGAGGTGGATGCACGTGAGGTGGATGCACGTGAACACGAGGGTCTTGGTCCCTCATGTGGTGCCATGCGGTGGCGCTTGGCTGGGCGAGATGCTGCTGACGCGACAATTTCTCGCCCAGTTACACCACTGGTACCAGCCACAGGCTCAATAAAACTTTGATCTGAGTCACTAAACCCAGAAAAGGAGTCACCTCCCTCTGACTCGTCACCCTCAAACAGAAAATATCCCCAGGAACTGTGAGGTCGTGGTAGAATTGGGGTAGAAAATGGGCGAGGAGACATGGGAGAGCGTATAGGCCTCGCCATGGCATGGCGGTCATTCTCACTTTCACTGCTGCTGCTGCTGCTATCACCCGACAACTGTGTATAATCCTCATCGTTGTCTGAATCGTCAAACACACTTTCTTCACCTTCAGAGAATAATTCGTGGGCTATTTGCTCTGGGGTGAGGGACTGAGTGGTGCGTGCCCGTGAGGCGTTTGACCGTGCGCTCGCCATGGTGACTCTCGCTAAACTGAGGCCTCCCATGCCATCGGAGCGTGAGCTGGATTTTTTTTCAAAATGGCCGCTGTTTACTAGAGCCCCTGGGCAGCGTATGGGACCCCCAGCTACACCGCGGGCCAATCAAATCGTGCGCGGTACCCATACACTTCATATGAAGTGAAGCGCAGTTGACTGGTAAAACGATTTACACTTCATATGAAGTGATGCGCACTTTAAGGGTTAATTAATGAACATAATTGATTCACTAATATGCACACTATAATTTTGAGTACAGCAATGGTTCACATATTTTATTATATAAATATATCACAATACACACTATTGAATAACATTACTGAAAAAAAAAAAAAAAAATTGAAATAATTTGGCAACAATATATTTGTGGCAACTGCCGCCTGACAGCTCAGGCGGAGTAGACCTCGTCTGGTGAAGGCTCTGTCAACGCCCCTTTTTTGTCAGACTTCCCTACCCTATTGCTATAAAATATGCCACCTACGATTTTTTTTTGTTATTTTTTCTGTGATCAGGGAACACAAATGAACACTTTTATAAGACTAAAGAATTTTTTGGATTTTTTTTTTTTTCGTTGCACCTGTGGGTGTTGAAGCCATTTGGACCCCTCGCGGTTTGAGGATTAATCCCAAGAGCTAACAAGGGGGATGAGCTAGAACACTGAAACACCTGCAATGTGTACAATCACAGGGACCTAGCAGAGGAGCACCAAAATATCATAAGTAGACTAATAGCCAAACAAGATAGACCCCCCCCCCACCAGGCAAAGAAAACAAAAATAAAAGAAAAATCCCACAAAAGTACAACGTCCCCAGAGAAAAAAGGAACACGGCCGCTGCGTAGGTAGGCTAGCTGTGCAACACCATGCACCTCAACCAGCAACAATACCACTTCCTACCCAAGGCCAAACAAAGGCCACGAAACCTCAGTTGGCCCCCATAAGCGGAGTTTATACAGAGCAGCAAGAACCCCTATGGTAGTGGAGTCCTGAGGGCACTATGGAAGAGAACCCTAGCACCCAGGAGTAGGACTTACAGGGCACTTAGGAAAGTCAGTCCTAAGTGTATGCAGCCCCAGTAAACTGGTATTACACCTGGCCACCACCACCACAACACAGCAGGGAACACCACTAAGGCAAAACACTGCCAAGAAATCGAGACGACCACCCCAGATCGCGTCAGCCAACGAACTGAGGGTTGGAGCAGACGGCGGGGGAAGGGGGGGGGGGGGGGGTTTGGAGCTCCTCATCCTTGTGGGGGGAGGGCTGCACGGATGAACGACGTGACGGTGATGTGACGTTTGCTTGTTTCCTTAAGGGTTGGGGGAGTTCTGCCTCCCTGTTCGGTTTTTGGGTTGCACTTTTCTTACCAAGTGGGGTTCGTTTCATTATGCCTACCTTTCAGGGTGCCTAACCCTGATCGATGGCTGACAAGGAATAGCCCCAACCACGGGGGTTTTCCAAATGCCACTGCTCCCTTGCCTCTCTGAGGGGGCCAGGTTCTGGTTTGAGGTCCCCGGTAGGCTGAACTTTATTGACTAATGCCCTAGACTAATGTATCACATATTAGTTCGAAAGCTCCAGGGAACCGAAGGGGCTCCCCACAGAAAAATGGCAGATGGAAAAAAAAAAAAAAAAAAAAAAAAAATTATATTTTACCTAAATGGCAGAAATCCACCAACAGCAAAATGAGCCCAGTAGGAGCGATACCAGGGAACAGGTGGTATTTCACGTGCTATATTTTTGGTGCGGCAAGGAAAGTTGAATTCTATATGACCATTCTTGCCTATGATGCCTCCAAACACAGTTAAAGGATATCCAACTGAAAAAAAAAATACTGTATATTATATATTTTAAATATTTAATAATATATATAGTATATACACACACACACACACATTTATATATAAATATAAAACCATACTTATGCATAATTTTCCAAAAAATAATATGGAGCCATTAGATAAACATTCAGTAGAAAACTATAAATTCAATATTCAGAATATATTTATACACTACAAAACATTAGAAGCTTAGGGCGACGTGTAGCACAGTTGACTCACAACCAATTGGGACCAAGATCAATTCCTGAGCAGGACAAGATATGTTTCTTTACACCTGAATACCTCTCTTTACCTAGTAGCAAATAAGAGTTATGCAACTGTGGGGGGTTGCATCCTGGAAGTCAGTCCTAGATAAGCCTACCACAGTTCTGTTTACAACAATGGGACACCAAAATAAAGGCTTTCTAACAATTTTTTTTTTTAAATATGTACAGTATTAAAAATCTAATGCTCAACCTGAATGTCAATTCATTTTGGTAAACTCTCTTCAATTTTATAGCTTACTGACACTTGTACTCCACCTCCATCAATGATATTTTTACTTGTTATTCCATTATAACACCATACATGTTTCTCATTGTCCATTTCTACAATTAGTGTACTTGTGCTATGTCTACAGCACAGTACACCAATTCATAATTTTCCACTCTCGTATCATACTGTTATCTTGCACCAGTCTGCACACACATTCCTCTTTTGTTTACAATCAGGGATTTTATTTTACCAGGCGTTTTCCTTTCTTAACTCCCTCTATTCTTAGTTTTGATTTAGCAGATTCTACTTATCAGGTAGAGAGTAGACAGATCTATTCTTTGACACAGTGCTAATAAGAATTATGGGAAGCAAGTTCCCTGGGGGGTCAGGCCTTGTCTAAATCTTACTAAGTGGTCCTAAGGCATACACGTGTATTTAAGCCCAGTGGTAACATAGTTGTCCCCCTTATTCCCATTAAGACACTCACGGCCATAAAAAACTGTAAGGGATAATAAAAGAAAACTAGAAGATGGTAATACTCAACTGCAAAGCCACACCAGAAAGAGAAGTATAATGGTGGTAAAGGGCAGGGCCTGCGTTGAGTGGTATGCCCAAGCTACACTGTTCTGCACACTCCATATAAGGAAGAAAGGCCCTGAAAATATTAAGAATATTAATGATTGCCAGCTACTGCTGACATTATCCTGCTTATGTGTGCCTTTGTTATTAGTGTTAGAATTATATTAACCAGGTACAGGTAGTTTTCAATTTGATTCTTGTAATGGGTTTCCTTTACAGTGAAGAGTCCTTTTGATCTCTTGTTTTCCTTTTCTAACCATCCTTACCTAACACTTGCTGTGGTTGAACTCTAAGAACATAAGGTATGTATATTTACTCCTGAAGTTTGTTAAAATAATATGACAACACTCAACAGTCCTCTTAAGTTCTTACATTCCTCATTAGCATTGTGTCATCTGCATATAGTGATGTGTTGTACAACCTCCTTTTTTGTGTGTATGTTAATTCCATCGATTAAAAGCAGCAATCTTCCTAGAACTGAGCGCATACGATTCAGCTTTCCACTCTTCTTCAGCTTGAAGTAACACCAGTGATCATTACACGATACATTCCAGCCTAGTAAATTATGTACTGTGCATCTTAGATAATAAAGTCTTAATTATATCCTTAACACTTTCGATCACAGTGTGCGGGACCTCCCCACTACCCCAGGTGGGCTTGGGCGTTCCGCGGGAGCGCGAGGGAGAGCGCAGTAAATTCTGAAAAGTGTATAATCTTTTCAACTTTGCCAGCTCAATTCTCGTCCTAAGATATTCATTTTGGTATCAATATGTTCGCAATAGAATTCTCTACAGGACTAAATGCATATAAACTCCAAAAGCCCGGCTTACCATCCGCAACTAACAGAGAAAGTTACTCGGGAGCGCACAAGAGTGATAAAATGTTTACTCTTTTCAGTTTTGTCAACTCAATTCTCGTCCTAGGTCTTTCATTTTGGTATTAATGTGTTCGCAATAGAATTCCCAACAGGCCTATATGCATATAATATAAAAAACAGCAGCAATCTCCACCCGCCGACATGATGAAAACAGGCTGCAGTTACAAGAAAGAGAGCGCTGCGCCACCCCACGGCGCTTCTCACTATGAAACGTGTATATTCTTTTCAACTTTGTCATCTCAATTCTCGTCCTAAGTTTCTCAATTTAGTATCAATGTGTTTGCAATAGAATTCTCTACAGGACTATATCCATATAAAATCCAAAAGCCCAGCGAGAAAGTGAGAGCGTGTTACCTGGGAGCGAGCCAGAGCAATAAAATGTGTACACACTTCACTTTGGACATCTCAATTCACATCTTAAGTCTTTCATTTTAGTATCATTGTGTTCGCAATAGAATTCCCTACATGAGCATGCAAATATAAAGTCCACAAGCCTGGCATACCATCCACAACAAGCAGGGAAAGTGACAGTGTGTTACCCCCGTGAGCGCTAATAAAGAGCAATAAAATGGGTATTCTGTTTTTAACTTTGTTACCTCAATTCTGGTCCTAGGACTTTAATTTTGGTATCAATGTATTCGCAATGAAATTCACTACAAGAGTATATGCATATAATGTCCAAAACCGCAGCAAGAAATTCCCAAAAACGCCGCTACTGTTGCCGCACAGAGGACTCAATGCTTAGTCCTTGCCGGGGCGAAAGTGTATTAAATTGATAACAAAAAATCTAAATTTATTTTTAAGTTAAAAAAGATATGCAATGATGAATGCATGAGCTAAAAAATTATTCTCTGACTTGAGAGAGAGACCTTAACCCTTAAGTTGTGCAACACATCATATGATGGGTTGAGTGACTTGCGATAAAATGCGCATCCCATCATATGATGTATTGGAGTACTACGCAAGATTTAAATGGCTCACGGATACACAGGGTTCACCTCATCTTGTTCAGGGATCTTGTAAACAGACGCCATTTAAAGAAAAAATCATGGGCCAAATTCCCGGGTGTGAGGGGCCTCAGTATTGAGTGAGCTACCAAGCCTGACACACGCAGCATGAGCTCACAGCACTGCTGTTCAGCTTGTGACCAGAGCATCGCCTAAAAATGCCATAATATACATGTTCATGTTATCATTTAGCGATGATATTACAGAAGACCCCTGACTGTGATAAAAATGACCAGGTTTCTGATAATAACAGGATTGTTGTAATAATTAGCGTTGTAGTGGGAGGAGTAATCTTGGTGGGGAGGGAGGTAGCATTGTCTGCTGACTGTGTGTGACCACCTTTTACTGTCTGGACTCACTATACCAGCTTAGTTGTTTGCTATGGTAAACAAAACATTCAGATACTTATATATAACATCTGTATATAAAAGCAAAAACAGTATGGTGGGAGGAGAATGGTGGTGAGTCAGGTGAGGTGAGGGAGGGAGTGGCAGCCAGTGGCGGGCTGCCTGCCACTGGCTGCCACTGCCACTCAGCATACCAACTGAGTGGTTCGTTATGGTGAACACGAATGTAGATACTTATATATAACGTGTATATACAGTGTAATAACAGCAAAAGGAGTGTGGGGGAGAAGCTATTTTGGTTATGGGTGTGGCAACATCTGCATGAATTATGTTGGTAGGGGTGGCCACTATACTCTTTGTACATTATACTGGCTTAGTTGAACAGTTATGGTGAACAAAAAATGTAGATACTTATACATAACATCTGTATATTAGGTTGTATGTAGTAAAGCTTGTAAAGCATAAGAAAGTATTGAAAAGATTATTGGAAAAGATCAATTTGTAAGGTAGTCTTGAAAAGATCGCTTTGTATGGTCCCACACACGAAGAGATTCAGCTTGCCTCAAAGGGTATCCGTCAGTTAGGAAAAGATTCAGGTACAGTATCCACTCAATTTAACGGCCTATACGGGGCTGTACCCTGGTCGTTATTTCCGGAGCTCCGTTATTTCCGAAGTTAAGTCGGGTCGGGTAATTTTTCAAGTAACATTCAGGTAAGATATATTTTATACTGTATAACCAAAATTAAATAAAGTTCATTGTGAAATTGCATTCCAATTTAGTGCCACGCCGACAATTAAGCCAGCTGGTGGCTGCTGCATGGATGATGTGTGAACGCGCTCTGATCAAGTCCAGATGGGTGGGAAAAAATTGGTTCATTCCTTTGTATTCCAAAATATTTCATGTATCAATCAGTGATTGTTAATAATTTCTCAATAAAATTTTAGAGAGATGTTTTGTTTTACCCTATACAGTCCAGGTAATGTATTTTTAATGTTACGACACAGGCTGTGGTGGCCATGCCATACAATGGCGATCAAGCCTTGTCACTAACTGAGAGCTAACCAAGACGAAATATTTTGAGTTCACCTTTTCTCTGCTAATGATAGAATATACATTTGCAGAGACTAATATGTAGCTTTTGTTGAAAAAATATCAATATGTTGTAATACTATACTGTAACAAAACTGCTAAATTGACTTACTTTAATGAAGCTGAAGATTACGAAGCTGTGAAGATTACGTCATCCTCTGCAGCGCTTGTTTTATATTGTTCAGTACTGTATACAGGGTACATACAGTATGTACACTTATTTTCAGGCATTCACTTCACACAACAGCTAGTCTTACTACTAATTCACATGAGTTCTAATTCTGATTCACAATTGAAAATTATTTCTACTGTATATTTACACTGTACAGTATCTTTTTGTCAAGGCTTAAATAATCATTAACACTTACAATACTGTACTCCATCAACACTTTACACTAATTTATATGCCTTTCAATCATATTTTATATCGTTAGCGGAGGCTGCACGACTTGTTGATGGGAATTCAGCATCGGCGGGTGCAGCATGGTTTGCAGAGCATTCATTGCCGGCGGATGCTCCATGACTTGTCGATGGGAATTCAGCATCGGCGGGTGCAGCAAAGCTTGCAGAGCATACGTTGCCGGCGGATGCTCCATGACTTGTCGATGGGAATTCAGCATCGGCGGGTGCAGCAAAGCTTGCAGAGCATACGTTGCCGGCAGATGCTCCATGACTTGTCGATGGGAATTCAGCATTGGCGGGTGCAGCATAGCTTGCAGAGCATTCGTTGCCGGCGGATGCTGCAAGACTTGTTGAATTCCCAGTAGGTGCTTTCACGAATTGTTGAAATCATGAATTTATCTATTTTTATCTGAATCTGATTTTCTCTGGCTAATATTCTGAGACATTGCTCTCAGCCGCGCGAGTTCACTTTAAACAATGCGGTCACATAGCCCAGCGCAGTACATTCTAGGTTCGTGGGAAAATTTTTTTTATTGCCTATACTATAAAAGGTACTTAATAATAAAAAGAATTTTGCTTAATAACAATTGTGTCAAATTATTTTATTAACACTTTGGTGCACCCCGCCCGCCACCCCTCAACTGTGCGATATGGGACCCAGGGTGTCACGGGAGCGCACGTAAATTCTGAAAAGTGTATACTCTCTTCAACTTTGTCACCTTAATTATCGTTCTACGAGATTAAATTTGGTATCATTGTGTTCGCAATAGAATTCTCTACAGCACTAAATGCATATAAACTCCAAAAGCCCGGCTAATTACCCGCAGCAAACAGAGAAAGTGCGAACGAGTTACCCAGGAGCGCACAAACGCGATAAAACGTTTTCACTATTTTCACTCTGCTCACCTCAATTTTTATCCTAAGTCTTTCATTTTGGTCTCAATGGGTTCGCAGTAGAATTCTCTAGATGAACATTAGCATATAAAATAAAAAACCTGGTCATGCTCCAACCGCCGACGAGTTGAAGACGGGCCACGCGTTAGCCGCGAGTGAGTGCTCAGACGCCTTCCAGCTACACTCCCAATTCCCGCCCTTTTCAAGCCTTTCTTTCGCAATTTTCTTCCTGGAAGGGCCTTGTTCATGATCACTATCCATCGTGGAGTAAGCGTGGATAGTTTCTAAAGCCGCAGTAAGAAATATAGCCACGGAAAATAGCTGAAATGTTCACACGTTTGAGATGCGAGGGGAGGCGACATTGGTCACAACAGTGGAGCGAAAACAATGGGCCCACGGCATGTGCCAAGCTGCCTGAGGGCCACAAGGCTCAACAAAGAAAATGGGAAGACATCGGC